ACCCATCTCCATCGCGGGGTGGCGTCGCGCAAGAAAAAAAAGTCGACCTTGGTATCAGACGTATCCCCCCCGCGTGACGTTTAACCCCCCCCCCCCCCCCCCCCTCCCTCCTCACCTGCCTGCTTTTCTCCATCGTAACGCGCCCGAGACCGGTCAAAGCTTGAACTCAAACGGCTCCAGGCCCCTGGCGCCGACGTCGACGCGGAACAGGGCGCCCCCGAGCTCCCTCTGCTCCTCGGTGCCCTCCGCCTCGCCGAGCTGGGCGGTCGTGATGAACAGCTCCGTCCCGACGAACTGCACGCACGTGGTGGCCAGCGTCGGGACGCGGACCTCACCGACGAGCTCGCCCGCGGGCGAGATCTTGAGGACGCGGCCCTCGTTGTAGACGGCGTGCCAGAGGTTGCCCTCGGCGTCGACGCGGAAGCCGTCGGGCTCGCCGGGGCCGTCGTGCGCGTAGAAGACGCGCTTGCCGGAGAGCGCGCCGTCCGCGGGGCTGTAGTCCCACGCGTACACCTTGCGGTCCGTCGAGTGCGTGAAGTACATGGTCCTGTTGTCCGGGGACCACCCGACGGAGTTGGGGATCAGGAGGTCCCTGACCACTTCTTCCTTGCCCGATGCGCCATCGAACCGGTGCAGGGCGCCTATGGTTCGCGGGAGTGCGTTAGCCTTTACCACAGGAGCCGGGGTGGTTTGTTAGTCCGGGGACGGGATGTGAGTGTGATGCGGTGAAGGGGTTGGGTTGGGTTGGCATGGCAACGAGCAATGATATCGTGAGTGAGGGGGGACAAGGGTTGTCGTTGACCGACAACCCCTCTCCCTCTCTCCCCCTCTCTCTTTCCCCGATCGAAAAAAAAAAAAAAACAACAAACAAGGGCACGAATCGTACCTTCAGCTTGGAAATCTCCCAGCCCGAAATCCGTCATGGTGCCGAGCCAGAACCGGCCGTGAGGGTCGACGGCGCCGTCGTTGGCCCTGAGCCTCTCGTTGTCCGTGTCATGCAGCTTGGAGACGTACTGGTACGTGCCCGACTGGACGTCGAGCACGGCGATGCCGTATTTGAGACCCACCAGGATCTTGTTCTTGGGGTCGACGCCGGCGATGCCGGCCGTCACCCCGACGGGTACGTCGAGCTGCACCGTCCGCAGCGATTCCGGGCCCTGGTCGAGGTTGACGAAGTGGATCTGCTTCTTCTTGATGTCGACGAAGCGGAGGACGTTGGCCGCCTTTTCGTAGTAGGGTCCCTCGCCCAGCCCGCAGTGCAGGTTGAGGTAGGGCTTCTCGGCCGTCCACGTCTGTAGGGGGGCCATGCTTGCGGGGGTTTCTCTCTCCTGTTTCGCGCGCGATTGGGTTTTTGGAAACGTTACGGGTCGCGAAGAGTGAGAGAGATGCCTCTCTCTTCTAGAGTTTTTGTATAGTTGGTGAGGAGGGGCGGTTACGCGATGAGGAGATGGCCAGAATTACCCGGGAAGCTTCTGCCACCTTGTGTCTCGTTCAGCAAATTAACCGAAGGAAACCCGGGAAACGTTTCTCGGCTCGGTGCGGTCAGTAGGCTGACTGGTCCGATTGAGAGGGGGGGGGGGGCAAGAGAAGAGAAGCTTTCTGGCAAACGTGGACGTCGGGACAGCATCCGTCAAGAAACACGTGGAGGGATGCGAGATATACATCCATCTGGCCTCTACTGTAGAAAGTCGGCGCTGGTTCGCGTGGAATCTCTCACCCGCTTGATGCGTTGTATGGCCGCAGAGTCGCTCCGAGACCCACGGAGCCTCCGCATTCGCATCCTAAACCGTCGAGCAACGTCCTCGGAACGCGGGCCGCTATGCCTTGATTCCGCGCGCCGGACACCGGTGTTTACATGAAGAGAACCAACGTGTGAGAGCATGCTCAGCTTGAGCTCCTTGTAGAAGAGTGATACCACAAGGAAAGAAGAAAAGAAAAAAGGATGCGGCAGGTCAATCGACAGCAGGCCAGATCCTGGTCAAACCCTCCCGAGACCTACTTGCGAAGCATACAGGCAACGACTCCACGGCGGTGCTGCTCTGTTTTGCTCTTGTTCCGCCCGGCTGGACATTGGTTGCTTGGCCTGCTGAGGAGATGGCCTGGAGTGTATGTTGGTTGACAGGACACAAACCCCTGTTGGAGGGGGGGGGGGGGGGAGAGGTCTGAAGCCACGGAATCGCAAACTCTCACACAACGCTAGCTGGAGGGGGTTGGGAGTGCGCAGCATTTGTGTGTAGGTACTGATTAATCCAGCGTCATCCCCGTTCGGGGGGTTCCGGGGAACGCTGATGCATGTTCCGGGACGGCGGCGTCGGACCCGATGACCGCCGTGAACATTTGTGTGTCATTTGAAGCCTGGTTCGCCGGCCATGCCAGCGGTTCTCCTGTGAACAGTCTCCCCCCAGGTTTGAGCAGCTCATTTCACGTGCCGAGGCGTCCCTGCGAGCAAAGCATTTCCCGTTGCCCCTGTGGAGAAGACGAAGGGGGGGGGGGGGGCGTGGAGGGGTCGTCTTGGACTTTCACCTCACTTCGGGTCTGTTGCGAGGACGGCCAATCTCGAAATAAGCGAGTGTCGGCTGGCGTAGACGAGTGTGCAAGATAAAAAAGGTATGTGTCTGCGTGTGTGAGTGTACTCCGTATGTCTGTGTCTCTGTGTGCATCCCTGTTGGATACGGATGCTACTAGGGGTTGAAGCGGCGAAAGGGTTCGTCTCCCAAACCGAGATGGTCTTGGTACGCTACTGTATTCACGACCAGGTGTGCATGGCCTAGTCCAGCCAGTTCCCCGGGGGGGCTGTGTAGCAGGCTCAGCTGCCGTCCTTCCTTGGAATGTTCCATCACCGGGGGATGGGGGGGGGGGGGGAAACCAGATATATGATCGCCCACAACCTTGGGCAGGTCACCTTGTTGCAAATTTCCCGAACGAGGAAGGGGGCGTAGATACAAGTGGTTCATGTAAGCCGGTTCGTTCGCCCATGAATCGTGTGGTCTGGGTATCGATGCGGGTCAGACGGGAAATGGTACAGCGACCATCTATCCGTACCGTAATTCCTGGGGTGAAGGGAGGGAGGGGCGGGTGGGATCGAATCGAACGAGTGGCGCGGTAAGGAACTGGAAGAGATTCTGGAAAAGGGCATAATACTGCTATTATGACTTACGTATGGGTATATACCTACCTACCTGCCTACCTGTACTATCTGTCGCTTACCGGGTCGTATTGGACGCAAGCTTCATCACCTTGTCTCCAGCTTCACCGGTGATGTTGGAATGCTAATAACAGGGCCGATGGAAGAAAGGGGTGGGGAGGCGCCTAACGTACGCGGATATCGTCATGACGCTCTCTGGGAAACACACTCACTCACTCAAAACTCACACGCATATCCGCACACCACACCGCCAACCGAGACTTGGCTTTGTCTTCTTTCCTCGCTCAAACCGGCTTGCTGCAGATGACCCGCACGGGTCACCCGCTGGTGGGCGTG